GTGGGCTTATTGGGCCCAAGCCCATTTATGTCAATGGCTATGTTGGACCTAATGGGTCACACACTAACACCTAATTGTCTAGATGCTCTAGCATTAATGGTATTGGGCCTAACAATTGTTATTAGCCCAAGAAGTAGTTTGGAACTCCACAGATAGGGTGGAGGGCGCGTGGATCTAAGTAATGGGCTTGGATAGTCCAAGATATTACTAATTAATTTAATTAGTTAAATTAATTATCAAATGTTTAAATTTTGAATTTTGAATTTGAATTTTGAAATTGGAATTTTGAATTTTGAATTTTGAATTTGAAATTTGAAATTTGAAATTTTAATTTTGAATTTTGAATTTTGAATTTAGAATTTTGAATTTTGAATTTTGAATTTTGAATTTGAATTTAGAATTTGAATTTGAATTTAAAATTTAAGTGTTTGAAAGTTTGAATTCAAATGTTTGAAATTCGAATTTGAATTGGCTATGAAAAGTTGTTTCATAACAAAAGGATAAGATGAGATCTTGTTGGAACATATCAAGAGGAAATCTTTTGGACATAATCTAAGAAGATTTGGGGTGCTGATTTGGTTGTTGGTTAGTCATCAGAATCAGCTCCAGAAGATACGATCTGTTGGGAGAATATTTGAGTGATTTGATTCAAGTTTGAATGCAACTACTCAAATGTATTTGGTCATTATTTAGGCTATATGGGGCGCACCATATAGCTGAATATATGATGATATATGATCAAATATTTGATTAGGCTTTGAACCTAATATCATAAAGATATGATAGGATGTTGTTGGCAAGATTTGATAAGATTTGATTTGCAACAAATCCTCTTGTTTCTCCTTGTTGGTGCGCCTTTTGAAGGGATTTTGAGGATCAAAAATCTGATTGCATCATGAATCTCTTGATCACTACTTGTGCGCCTAGTAGTATATATGTTCCTCCTAGGGTTTTGTAAAAAGACTAAGCCATTCTCTCCTTATTCCTGCGCCACTTTTGTGAGGTTTTCTCTCTGAAAACTTCACTCTTCTAAACACTTTTACATAGTCTCCTTTCATCACACATTGAGCGCATAGCAAGCCTTATTGTGGTGATCAGTCGGCGGCTTTACTGGAAGGAGTTCCTGTATCTAGACGCGGGTGGTGTGGACGTTAGAGGGTCTGAACCCTTCAGACCTACCTTGATCATCTTAAGTTTTCACGAACAAGGTATGACATACGTCTTAAAGTATGTATCTTGACATGCATGTGTATTCCGCTTGCGGAAAAATTTTTATTTTTCCCTCTCACATGCTACGCCTTCAAGGCCAATTCGAACTTTCAGATATATGCAAAAGAAGGTTTCATGTTTTTATGGAAGTTAAGAGCCTTTATTGCTATCATCATATCATGTCAAATGGAAATATCTATCGAAATTAACCGCATAAAGCTACAACATATGTATTGTGAGGTAAGATCCTTTGACACCGGTGTCAAATATCTGAGAGCCGTGAGATCAAAAAAGATCAATGGTGTCACATGCTTACAAATCAGAGTCGTTGATCTTTTTTGATCTAACGGCTCTCAGATGAGGTGTCAAACTTTAAATTTGACACCGGTGTCAAAAGATCCTGCCTCATGTATCGTAATAATTTTTTGATAAAAGTATAATTAATTACATTATTTTCTTAATAATGAGATACATTCAATCATTTTATTTTGCTTTAATGAAAAATTTTAAACCAGTACGATGTACATATTTAAATTTTTTAATAATAAGTTATATTTAAAAAATAAATTATTAAGTATTTTATAACGTTTTCACTTTCATAAAGTATATCTTAAAAAAATATTAAATATTTTTGTAATATATATTTTTTAAGATTCCTACAGAATTAATCGCCTCCTTCAAAAGTATTTGCGCATAGACTTACTAGTTCCATATTAGGGTACGTAGAATAATATGCCAATTATTTGTTTGAGATATTCTATTCGTTCATTTCTTCGTTACTAATCCGATTCAGGACGGGTCCAAGATTAAACTTTAAATCTCTCTCATAAATGATACTAGAGAGGATCGAACACATCTATTTTTTTTTTATTCCTATTTTATCTACTTCTCTTCCAATTCCGCTAGATGGCAATCTCAACTTGAGATTGAGATCTAATAATACCAGAGAAAAATAAATACAATAAATATGAAAAAAAAAAAATATAATAGTGTATCCCAACTATAATATAACAAATTTGTAAAAGAAACTCAACAAATTTTTTATACCAATCCTAATTACCTAATTAAGAACGAATTTACTCATGATATTCCCTTAAATTTCAACTAATTTTAAATTTATAAATTGACGTTATTTTAAATTATATATATATATATATATATATATATATATATATATATATATGAATTTAATGTTTCTAAAGTGAACGTAGATAAGTTTAATGTTTCTACGTTCACTTCCAAAACGACGTCGTTTTGGTTATAGGATAAGATATTTTACCTATATTTTTTCATGTGTACCTTGTTTACTTATCTCCAATATTGTTAAATCAAAAGTTTAACTAACTTTTTCCATTTTTCTTACTTTTGAGATTCTGATCTAATAATGTTGAAAAGACAATGAATAGATAGAATAGGCATGAAAAAATGTATATATTATATTCTATCCCTATATCTATATATATAATCTTAAATTAATTTTTTAATATATATTTTTTAAGATTCCTACAAAATTAATAACCTCCTTGAAAAATATTTTGCGCATAGACTTACTAGTTCCATAATAGGGTAGAATATTATGCCAATTTTTTTTTTATCTACTTTTCTTCAAATTTCGCTGGACGGCAATTTCAACCTGAGATTGGAGTCTAATAGTGTTAGAGAAAAATAGATAAAATAAATATAATATTGTATCCCAACTATAATATAACAAGTTTGAAAAAGTAAATTCAATTTTTTTTTATACCAATTTTAATTACCAATTTAAGGACGAAGAATTGACTCCTGTTACTCCCATAAATTTCAAGTAAATTTTATAACTGACACTAGGGGTGTTCATCAACCGATTCAAACCACGGTGACCGAACCAAAGAATTGATAACCGAATAAGCCGAAAATCGAAAAATCGAAAACCGATTAAAAACTGCAAATTTTAATTGGATTGGATCGATTTTTGGATTGGTTGATGAGAACCGATCCAATATATAAATTTCCCTCTACCTACTTGGGTATTTCCTTAATCATAGCCTAAAAATATCTAAACCCAAGAGCCATTAACCCATCAAATAAATCCAAGAAAAAATCTAGTCATATCTCATCAAATAAATCCAAGATAAGTTATCTACGTTCACTCCCAAAACGACGTCGTTTTGGGTTTAAAAATAAAAAAATTATAACGAAAAAGACTATTATAACCCTGAAATCAATTATAATTACAAAAATAATTTGATTTCCGCCTCAAAACGACGTCGTTTTGGTTATAGGATAAGATATTTTACCTATATTTTTTCATGTGTACCTTGTTTACTTATCTCCAATATTGTTAAATCAAAAGTTTAACTAACTTTTCCCATTTTTCTTACTTTTGAGATTCTGATCTAATAATGTTGAAAAGACAACGAATAGATAGAATAGGCATGAAAAAAATGTATATATTATATTCTATCCCTATATCTATATATATAATCTTAAATTAATTTTTTAATATATATTTTTTAAGATTCCTACAAAATTAATAACCTCCTTGAAAAATATTTTGCGCATAGACTTACTAGTTCCATAATAGGGTAGAATATTATGCCAATTTTTTTTTTATCTACTTTTCTTCAAATTTCGCTGGACGGCAATTTCAACCTGAGATTGGAGTCTAATAGTGTTAGAGAAAAATAGATAAAATAAATATAATATTGTATCCCAACTATAATATAACAAGTTTGAAAAAGTAAATTCAATTTTTTTTTATACCAATTTAAGGACGAAGGATTGACTCCTGTTACTCCCATAAATTTCAAGTAAATTTTATAACTGACACTAGGGGTGTTCATCAACCGATTCAAACCACGGTGACCGAACCAAAAAATCGATAACCGAATAAGCCGAAAATCGAAAAATCGAAAACCGATTCAAAACTGCAAATTTTAATTGGATTGGATCGATTTTTGGATTGGTTGATGAGAACCGATCCAATATATAAATTTCCCTCTACCTACTTGGGTATTTCTTTAATCATAGCCTAAAAATTTCTAAACTCAAGAGCCATTAACCCATCAAATAAATCCAAGAAAAAATCTAGTCATATCTCATCAACAAAATTTTATCTTCATAGAGCTTCATATCTCATTGCCAAAATTAAAAAAATTATATTATAGTTTACTAATGCTTTTGTATTTCAAAAGAAAAATTTACAAAACCAATATATACAAAAGATATTATTTGCACAATAATCATGAAATAAATTTTAGGATTTTCAAAAAACCGAAAATCGATCCAATGCAAACCGAAAAAAATTGGATTGGATCGGATCAGAATTAAAAAAAATTAAAACCGAATGGATGATTACATAATCAAACCGAAAGAATTGGATCGGATGATTTTTACTTTCAAAACTGATCCAATCCAGATCACGAACGTGTAAGTGAGACTACCACCGAGTGGGGCTTAATTAACACCGTAAGGCGTAAACCATTATTATCATATTGAATATGGGTTTGGTGTTTGTCATTTTAAATGACATAAGTTATGTCATTTTAGGAGAGAGATAGACACAGAAAAACGGAAATCATGGGAGAGAGAAAGTGTGTAGTTTTTTTTTAATTTAAAATTTAAATTTTCTGTGTCTGTATCTCTCTTAAAATGACATAACTTTCTGTCATTTAAAATGACAAATACTTTATATATTTGAATATGTTTATTTAGCCCTGAAATTACGTACAACGGTTAAAACGAGTTTAGTCAATGAATAAATACTAAACTGACCGTTTTTTTTTTCGAATCCTTTTCATTATCTTTCGAATCCTTAGTTCTCCTTTCTCTCGTTCTCTGTTCGTTCCGATAAATCACGATTTCCACCACTGAACGTTTCGCTGCTTTTTCGTTTTCGCCGCTCAGGTTCGCTTCTTCTTCGCACGTGAATACCCCTTTTAGGGTTATATCTGTTCTATGATGGATCATCTCCTACAATATATGTTCTATGAGATTAGGGTTTGGGGTTTCGATTTTACGCGCTTCCCTGGTGGAACTTTTAGGGTTTTGATTTTAGGGTCCCTTTTAGTTTATTTATCATTAGGGTTTTCCGAAGGATCGGCGATACGGTAATTGTAGGGTTTAGGGTAGTGGCTATTAACGCTGATGAGCAAGGTTGAATTATTGGTCTTTCGTCCAACTCAGTTGTGGGTGGAAAGTCTGGAAGTTCTGCGATCGAGTTGTTCTGCCCGAGATTTTCTTTCGGTGTTTATCGTTTGCTTTATAGTTTCAAGTATTTTATGTTTTATGATGGAAAATTTGGAATATAAGAGGTTCTGTGTTTTTTATGAGGGAATGATTCTGCGGCTTGTTGTTTATTGTCGAGTTAATGGAGGAAAGCATGAGATGTGGAGGATTTTATTGATAGGGTTCAGTGACTGATTTGGTATACGACTGGAATGTTTGTTTTTTTAGAGTAATATGGCTATGAAAGGTGCGAGGAGGACTGAAGGAACCGTTGGGACAACATGTGCTTATTGGCTAGCAGGGCGATGCAACAGAAATCCTTGCCGGTTTTTGCACAGAGAAACACCATTACCGTCTGCTCCTTATTATAATGCATATCGATATCAAAGGAAGCCCCGATCAAATGTCATTGAGGCTTCTCAGAAGCCGTTGGAAAGTGTGGCTTCTCAGAAGCCGTCACAAAGCGTCTGCAGATACTGGATGGAGGACAACTGCTTACGCGGTGACCACTGCCAGAATTTACATTCATGGTTTTATGGTGATAGGCTTTCCATAGTAGCAAAGCTTCAAGATCATAAGAAGGTACTTTGTTTTAGTACCACCTTTTAGTATTCAGTACCACAGAATTGTGATTGTATATCCAATGTTGTGTTTTGTAAAATTCATCTTTATTAGCATTGTTTTACATATTTGGATGAGTATCTGAGTTAATTGGATAAGCTGAATTGATTATTGACTGATATTTTAATAATTACTAATTAGAACCATTGAACTTTATAATTTAACTATATGGTGTTTAATTTGGAAACTGCCAGTAGCATCCTAATGAACCTGATGTGAGCTGGAGTGTTTTTAAAATTACTGTATTAGTTTCCTGGGAAATGCTAGAAATTGTGTGGCTTTCTTCTATGTTAATATGTACTTAACCTAAAACTTTTGACAGCAGGTTGTCACTGGGATTGCACTTCCAGTTGGATCAGACAAACTTTTTTCTGGCAGCACTGATGGGACAGTTCGGATGTGGGACTGTCATTCTGGTCAATGTGTTAATGTGATAAATGTTGGTGCCGAAGTTACCTCTTTGATCAGTGAGGGCCCATGGGTTTTTGTTGGTGTGCGGGATGTTGTGAAGGTAAGCTCTAACTTCAGTTTTCAAGTTGTTTCATTGTGCTGTCATGTCTTACATGTTGCAGCAGCTGATTATGTTGTCATGGTTATTGTGAAGGCTTGGAATATTCAGACTACTTCAGAGTTTACTCTTGATGGACCTAAGGGGCAAGTCCTTGCCTTGATTGTTGGCCATGATAAACTTTTCGCTGGAGCAGAGGTAACAACCATACTGCGGTTTATAGTTGTTATTTAATACTATTTAGATTTTTTGTAATTAGTTGCTGGATAGATTTGTCCTTTGATCAGAATTCTATCTTGCTTTTTAACAGCTCTTTTCTTTCATCTATCTATTTATGTATCATCTGATGATTTGGATTGTAGGATGGTGTGATTTCTGCATGGAGAGGCAGCTCTGAAGCTATTTCCCCTTTTGAACGGATTGAATCACTAAGTGGCCACACTAAAGCTGTGGTTTGTCTGACTGTTAATAGAAATATGCTGTACTCAGGGTCCAGGGACCATAGCATAATGGTATGTCTATTGTCCGTCAATGAGTAGTTTCTATTTTTTTTTTCTTTTAAATGTATGTTGTGATCCATGTCAAAAGATATGTGATTTCCCTGGACCACAGATTGGACAATTGTAAAACCGTCTCATGGTCAGTATATCATACTGACGTAGACATTGCTAAACTGTTTTTGGTCTTTCTGTTGTGTAATGTTGAAACTGACATTATTGTTTCTTTGGGTAGGTTTTTTTATTTTTTTATTGTCTTCATTATGAATCTTAGGCAGTGTACTGCTTTCCTATGTTAGCTACTGAACCGATTGTTGCTTGTTTCTACTTGATAATTTGTCTGAAAGAATCTTTTTTTTTCTTCCTTGTTTTCTTCAGGTTTGGGACCTTGATACCTTAGTGTGTAAAATGACACTCAATGGGCATACTGACGTAGTCAGATCCCTTATTTGTTGGGACAATTATTTGCTATCAAGTTCATATGACTGCACAATTAAGGTCTGGGGTGCCAGTGAAGAGGGAACTTTGAAAGTGACATATACGCACACAGAGAAAAATGTAAGTTCCATAACCACTATAACATTTCTGCATGAAGTAAATATTTGATTTCATGTCAAATATCATTTTGTTGTATTTTCATTTTTAGAAGTCAAGTTGATATTTGTTATAACTGGTCAAGAAGGAGTTAGTTGATTCATCTTTTCCATATTTTCTATTTTTATTATAGGATGTTCTTGCACTCTGTGGAATGACTGATGCAGAAGACAAGCATATACTGCTTTGCTCTTGCAGAGACAGTTCAGTTCGCCTCTATGAATTGCCATCGTTAGTGAACTTAAACTTGCATCCTTTGTGTTCTTTAACTGTCATTATATTTCTGTGTTGGGCAACTGTAGCAGACCTGACCATGTGTACATGTCTACTTTTACAGATTTTCAGAGATGGGTCGATTATTTACCAAAAAAGAGGTTCGATCCTTAGAGATAGGTCCAGGTGGGCTTTTCTTCACCGGAGACTGCACTGGTTTGTTAATGGTGTGGAAATGGCTGGAAGAGCCCAAGGTGTCATCGTCTTGATAAGTGTCTCAGAGCAGCGAGCAATATTGCTTGTTCAAGATGTACATATGACTTGACAAATTCCAATTTTCCACTTCTTGTGCTATTAGTTCATTTTTTCTAGCAGATGTAATCGTCTCCTGTTTTGATAAATATACTAGAAAGAATCTTTTTATCAATGGAAACCATTTTTTTTATCAACTTCTGTTTGTGTGTTCACTTAAAAAGTTTTTTTTTTTCTTTCTATAATTTATATTTATTTGAGGCTGAAGTTGAAAAAGTAGGTCCTTTGGTTGGCAGAAGAGTTTGGAAGTTTTTTAGGTGTCTCCTGATTCTTAAATAATGTAAGAGTTTGGCCTGAGGTTTACCACTACTATCTGAGAACAATGGCTCGAATACACTCGGGGAATGATAAGGTTGCATAAATACTACGAATATTTGCAATAGAGAGGAATCTCTCAAGGGCATGAGGAAGCCTATCAAGTCCATTGTGAATTTCAATACCGAAATGGATATTGAGATTTAATCATGATTATCAAATATTAGCAATCCGTTCAAGCATGATGGGGGGCACCTTAAAATTGATACTGAATTTGTCGTAATGCAACTTTTGGTTACGTGAATATGCTCATGAAATCTGAATGATTTGTGAGGTTGACTCTTACTGATATAACTACCATTTCCTGGAAATTCTTCAATTAACGCTGATGGTTGATAGGCCACGATCAAGCCTTGTTGCTTGCTGCTTTTTATACCAATCAATAATCTACATCTTGTTCTTTCATGGCTGACTTATATGCAGTTTGTTTTGCATTTGGCAAAATTGGTAGAGACCTAATTTGATCATGTTTCCGTCGAAGGCAAGGGATCCATGATTTCCGTGTGTAGACACACATCTTCAATTATGCTAAACAGTCAACTTTCTTGAATGCATTTATATATGTGTTTTGTATTGAAGACTAGGTGTTAAGTATACAATTACACAGCTCTCAAATGAAATGAAAAAGATAACGACTTGGAATAGACTCCTCATAATCACAATTTGTATGGCAATTGTAAGCTTACATGATGGTGCAGCTCTCACTACTCCTGTTAAAAAAAAAAAAAAAAAAGTTACAGTAAATAAGATTTAATCCTCTAATCTTCTTAAAAAAATATAAAAGTTTTATGTTCTGACAGTGTTGTCTTTTGGACAAGCATAAGTCATCAAGTTCTTCACAAAAGTTGTTTTGTGTCTATCACAATTCTTAAGAAATAGGGAAGGATCCAAGATATGTACCTCTTTATTTCTTCGTATTTGCTGAGAGCTTCCACAAATTTGAGCCAGAGAGTACTTGTATCCTGAGGGTTCACATTTTTTGGCCCCACAATATATGCTTGAACAAAAAACTCTGGAGTTCTTTCCCTGAATTACAAATTGAATTGAACATTAATTGGATTGGACAAACAGTCAAGAAAATAAGGATTAAAATTCATCCATTATCTTTTGAGGAAACACATATTTTAGTGCTCCAAAAATATAAGTTTCATCATTTTTATCCTTTAATTTGAAATACATTAAAATGATCCTTCATATTTGGAGATCGGTAACTTCTACACAAAAAGAAAAATTTTAGTGGTGACCAAATCAGACATACCTTCCTTCATATTCTGATAACCATGCTACATAGGCAGCACCAAAGTACATGGACGCAAATGGATTGTTTAGATCATCAACAGTTTCAAGTTTATAAGCCCTGTAGCCCAATTCCCTGAGGAAAACAAGACATTCCACACAGTAATCAGTATTAAGGGAAGAAACAAGAGCATTGCTTGAACAATAATATATCCATTTTTATCAAAATTAAGATGAAAGCTTTTCTTTATAATTGCAAATCAAAGGCAGTAGCAGACTTGTAATATCAAAAAGATTCGATAAATGGTGCCATTTTACTGCATAAAACTAATAGAATTGGACCTAAAAATAGGAAAAAGTAGGAAGGAACTATAGTCTAATGTCGACAAAATATATTACAAAATACACAACGTCATCAACATCATATTTATCCTAAACTAGTTGGGGTCCAAATAAAAGCCTTTGTCAATATGTAATCTAAAAGTATAATAATGGATATGTCCTATACATACAAGTAAAGCCAGTAAGCAGTGGAATAGTCAATTCCCATTATTCCAGGTCGTGGTCCAACTCCATGTGCAAAACGCATGCTAACAACCTCCGCAATGGCACAAAGTACTGCCTGTGAACCAAACAATACTCAGGAAATATCAGATGGAATTAACATTTTATATTTTACCAGCAAATGCATGTCAAAAATGCGCACAATTGAAAGTGCTGTCTGTAGTTTCTTGCACCCAATAAAAAAAAAAAAAGCAGGTCAAAATGCTTGAAATCTTGTCATCAGGGCATTATTATTTCATAATATCATAATGACGCCAAAGAGAAAAAGAAGAAGAAGAAACTTAGTGCTTGTTTGGGAGGTCTTATTTTTAGCTTCTCTTTTTCTTAAAAGCATAAGTTTATTTAAATATGCTTTTGTAAAAGCTCTTATAATACAAAGAGTTTTTTTTTTATATATAATGAATAAAGGAAGGAAAAACCAAAAAATTTGTCCCCCTAAACTTTATATACTATAGGGTACAACATCAAGAGAGGGCAAGCCTTTGAGTACCCTAAGGTTGCTCCAAGGAGTCATATAAATGAAAGCTTTATTGTCAAAGGAATCCTAAACCCCAAAAGAAAATGAAAAAGATGGAAATGAATAATCTCATGTGTTATTTAACATGACCATGTCATACGAGAAGATCTCAACCGTTTATAAACAAATCAACTGTAATTTTTTCCTCACCCTCTTATTTATCTATAAATAGTTGAAATCACCTCACATGACATGATCATTTTAAATGACACATGAGAGGATCATTTCCCAAAAAAGATAGTCATTATAACTCTTATGTTTTTTACTCGTCCTTGAATCATGTTGCCATCTAAAAGTGCACATTTTAGAATTTTCCATTTTTGGCAAGAAAGATCTGACATGGAAGGGGACACTCTTGAGAAATATAAGAAAGTAGCCCCAACTAAAAACATTGAAGTGAGAGCAAGATGGGAAATAAAAAATTTCTCCAAGAACTGCAGTCTATGAGCAAATGTACTCAGGAGAAACAAAAGATTAATCAAGCTTTACATAGCACAGATGCAACGAGGAACCTCTGTATTGTGGTACATTCTACTTCGATAGAACTTAGCAAACTATTATAAAAACCAGTCATTTAATTGGACTTATGGTCCCAAAATGACTACATTAATGGTGAGGCTATTGGGTAAGACTACATTAACAGTTTTATATATCTTTAACACGCCCTCTCATACGAGAGTCCATTGAGTTTAAAAGGTGAATGATGCATTAGGTCCAGCCTACCTGTGCTAAGAAACTCTACAATACTTAATTAATTATTAATTAAATAGAGACAGTGAGGATCGAACCCGTCACTGAGGATTTGATACCATGTAAAGAACCAATTTAACCCAAAAGCTTAAGCTATTGGGTGAAGCTACATTAATGGTTTTATATATCTGTAACAATCGCTAACATGCCAAAGGCTTCACACATGTGTATGATGCCAATATTTCTTGTAAAATAATGTTGAACATATGCATAAGATATGGAAGAAGCAAGCTAGTAAGATGCTCAAACTAAATACTCTCCTGAAGAAAATAGTCATGTAATTACATGATACGCCATTCAGAACAGTAACTCATCAAATCTCATCTCATATCTAATCTTTTAAAGTACGTATACACAGGAAAATTTAACCAAGAATAGATTTGGTCACTGAAGGGGACGGGTAAATAGCAGTGGTGGAAGTATTTATGATATCATTTTAGGAATACACATACTGTTCACTGCCAAAAAGTTTCTCAATATTCTAAACTTTTTCAATATGTGCTGTAGGATGCCTGGACAACATTTATCCTAATCATTTCCAATTTACGTAAAATCAAACTCCTCCAGTTCTATATACTTACTGATTTGATTTTCGTTGTGATGAGGTATTTGTATAGAACTATATCCGCAACTGCCTGTAAGAAAAGATTAATATGATAAGGACTCACATACTTCACCTTCATATGCATTTTATTTCTTAAACACTAAATAATTTTAAAACTTGGGGTCTATGCTATCATTTTTATGTGAAACAAGGAAAAATAAATACAAGGAATGAAACATCAAAATAGTAAAAGCCACCTTCTCAAATCTGTCCCTAGAATTATATATAATGAAGTTATCAGATTGCACCCGAAATTTAAGAAAATAGTAAGCATTATTTTCAACCAAAATTATAAATACTTTCATAATGTACAATTGGAGGTAAAAGCGACAGAGAAGAGGAAACAAAGTAATACAAAATTAATTTATCCGTTATAAGTACACTGAGAAATTACTCAGTAATAGATTCTTACCTTCAATTCCACCCGAGAAAGATATGGTCTCTTCTTTTCATCATGAGAAAACCGCACCTTTCCCTGTATTTCTTTGGTTTTATTCCACTCTTTTCGAACCTCAGGATGATTCCACATAGCTTCCATATCTTCTGGAGATGCTCCGGTGTCCCAATATGTGTCAACACTTCCATCTTCATTAAAAACACAGCAAAAAGTAGTGAGATCAAGCAATGCCTTAAGCATACGTTACAACTTTGGATTCTTTAGAGATTGGAGCAACCTAACCGCTGCTCCAAAGCTCTCTCTCAAAGAAAAAAAGAAAAAAGAAAATCTGTTTATTGATGAGAAAAACAAATAAACATACAACTTCTCTTGGCAATGGGCACTGCCCTTTAACTAAACACTCTCGGTCTAACATAATATTTGTCAAAAGCTGCTTCTCACCAAAAGCATATTCCCTAATATAGTTGGGGAAGCTAACAGCTCCTAACTATCTATCCTCTCAACTAACTAACTACCTCCTAGCTTTCTAATCACTTGGTATATTTTTCCCAGAATATCCCTTCCCTCTTAATGATACATTCCTTGAAGAATATCCTTTCTCTCTTAATGCTAATTGTTCAGCGTCTCATTCTTGAAAAATAAGGTGTTAAAAGTGGGGGGAAGGAAGGGAGAGTAAGTAACCTCTTGAGTTTTCTGATGAAGAAGGTATAGGAGATCCAGTATGAGAATGAGCAGGTGCTGGAGTGTCATTCGGAGGAGGACAATCATCAATAGATTTTCTGCACAACCATGAAGCACTAGCAATAAGACATTCTAAACAACTCATTTCAATTTGAGCTTTCCTTCTGAGTTCTAACCCATGAAATAGACTATAATTCATAATTTCATACACAGCTGTTGATACTCTTGTCTCCCACATTTGTACTAGTTGAAATTCGGTAATCAAGTGACATATTACTATGATATGAGGACTAATCCTCTCTCAGCTTATATTTTCATATTCTTGTCATGAGGAAATTTCTTAAGTATAGATTTTCACAAATATTCATGTCTAGCATAACAATTGTAATCAATTGGAATATCTATGAGTAGTATAGGTTTAAATTTTTAGTGCTACCTAAATACATGCTACACCAAATTAAATTACAACACATGGACGCAAATCAGAACTACAATTTATCAATAAGGAAAAGGAGGAACCACCTGGATGAAAAACTTTCTTTCACAGAGAGATAGCTTTTCCAATAGCGCAAAGTTGATTTGTGAATTGCCTTCTTTGGACCACCTTTATATGCCCTTACAATAAACTCTTCACTTCTTTTTCTGCAAGCAATGCCCCTCAATGTGATGAATATTTCAGGACAGACACTCATGGTAACCACTGGACAACATTCATTGCTAATGCAAAGTGTGTTTGTACATGAATCATGTGAAATATATGGAACTTACTTGTCCTCAAAGTTTGACAACCATTTAATATAAGCCGCACCTAAGTATACATTTATGAAGGGTTTGAATAGGAATTCTATATTCTCTTCTGCTGCATATGAACGATAACCTAATTCACTGTAAGCTGCAGTTAACCTCGGTGAACCATAATCATATAACAATGAAATAAGCTATAACATCTAGCCAGTACCTGATCAACCAGTCAGCATTTTTGGATTGAAGTTGCATAAGCCCCACTGTAGGCTCTTTAGATTTGTGGTCAGACCGCATAACAAGTAGTTGCCTATCACTTTCAAGTTCAGCAATAGCACAAATCATGTCCTGCAGCAAGGATAGATTACAAACTATAAAGATACTTGACACTATCAGCAATTAAAATTATTTTTTAATCATAGAAGTACTGCAAATTAGTAAGAGGTAAAGGTCTAAACAAAAGATAGTTCTGTGTTAAGCCAAAATTATTTGTGCCTGCTAAACCCACCCTTCAGCATGAAATAAAATCTATTTATCTTTTCCCAAGAGTACATACCTTAAAGAAACTTAAAATTGTGTCAAAGATTAACATAGTGTGAAGCTCATCCATATGATCCTATAATATTTCATAGCAGACTAAAACTTATGCCACATTCTTCTTTTATCCCTCTTCTCATCAATATTTCATATCAACAAATCCTAGACTATACTATTTTTACAGCAGCATTGCAGAGAAGTAAAATATAGAAATTCAAATGCCCTACTGCAAAAATATAGCAAGTACCATCCAAAAACTCCAACACCATATTTTTATTATGCCGAAAGTAGTACCAGTAAATCTTATTCAGGACTTGGAAAACAAAACAGATCAAATGATAAAATACTTAAACTAAAAGAAGACATACAGGATCTATCTCTGATTGAAAGTGCCTTTCGATGACAATGTCAGCTACAGCCTGAAAATACACAAAATGATGCAAAGTAAAACAAAATAATAGTTAAGAAAAATAAAAACTAGGGAATACACAATCATCATCTAGTAACATGTTTTGAATCTAACATGCACATTTAATGCAATAAAAAAGCAGTCATGACTTCCCATTTTTCTCATAATACAAGTGTCGAGATTGCTGATCCCAACTAGTTTGGGATAAAGGTGACACTGAAGATGGTGATAAGAAAGTGTCAAGATTATAGAAGGAATAGAAACATATTGAAATCTAATGTCCAAAAGGGAGTGGAACTTCTATTTTAGAGATTAGAACCATAAAACCATCATTTTCATGCCTATTGGTACTCTCAACTTATGGTCAGGTCACCATTTAACCTATATATCATAATTATGCTCTGCTTAGTGAGGACAAACAACTAATCAAGCATAACAGAGACTTGTTAAGCTTAGTATTGCCATTATTTTGCAAAAGCTACTTCTAATGGGTAGCTTGGAAAGATACAATAAGTAGTGTTGATGTGTTAGATAAAGGTATTAGAAAAGTTGCTTTTAAAAGTAGTACAATGTTTGGTATCAATTAAAAGCACCTTTTAATAATTGGGAAATATAAGAATCATGTTGCAGGAATGGCACTGCAACAAGGATCCGTTTCCGTATCTTAAGGATACGGCATCGTATCCTGATTTTGGTCTGACTTTTTTTTTTAAGCGTGGGACCCACACTTGATTTGTGTGTGCAGGAAAGTGCTCTAGTCATGTCACATGACAAAAAGCGAACCCTTAATAATTATAAGGGTTCGCGTTTTGTCATGTCACATGACAAGACCATTTTCCTGCACACACAAATCATGTGTGGGTCCCACGCTTAAAAAAAAAAGTAAAACCAAAATCAGGATACGGCGCCGTATCCTCAAGATACGTTGCCGGATCCTTGTTTCAGGAATGAACAGTGTCATTCCTACAACATGATTCTTATATTTCCCTAATTATAAATACCTAAATGGACATGCAAATGGTAGAAGTTACAACTTACAACAAAGAAATATTTTATCACAATTTGAAAATTAAATGCACGAGTACCTTCTAAAAGTATCCCACGGAAAGAAAAAAAAAAACTTTTACAAAGTAGCATTTGAGAGATTACGAAAATCTTAGTACTAGTGTTTATTATAAGTAGAAGCCAACCATGTAGCAATTCCATACATAGTGAAATCCTTGAGGTAGAATAATGTGTTTTACCCTCATTTCAGTCTGTGTCAAATATGGCTGCCCATCAGGATCACGTGAGATGTGAACCTTTTGATTTCTCGCCTCTCCAGCTTTTAACCATTCAGCACTCACATTAGAAACGTTCCACATTGCCTCCAAGTCCTGGGGCTCAACACAATCACCCCAATAGCTGAAGCTGACGGCCATCCTGACATGAAATAAAATTAATTGATCAAATTCTGATACCTAAAATAAATTCACAAAAGCTAAAGTGACTTCTATTTGAGTTTCCATGGATGAATTTAGAGACACCAGGAACTACCACAAGATAAACAGATAAATAAATAAAAGAAAGCTTGTTCATGAACTTGTACCTGTATAGGAAATCATATAAACATCCACATATTTGTAACCCCAACACATAATTCAAAGATCATCTGGTCCAAATTTCAACCCCACCACCACCACCACCACCCAATTTTTTTATTTTTATTTTTAGATTTCACATGAATCCCATTCCTAAAGAATGAAAACCCATTTGGCACAAGCCATTATAATGTAACAACATTTTCAATCAAACAATTATTGTCCCAAATAAATAAAAATCAGATGCATACTTACAAGACAATGTGGCAAGGTGACAGAGAGACCAAAAGGCTTTTTGCAAGGTGATGATGATAAATTTTCCTCCTAAAGCTGACAATGGAAGAATTGGTTACATAAGGTGAACAATTATTGCCAGGAACGAGGAATGTGGGAAAATCTCATTAGGCCATTAACAATTTACTATTGCCATCTTTTGTGGGATTGCAAAACATATCCTCATTGGGTGCCAAACTTTTTATGGTAATGATCATTTCAGAGAGCAACATTTGGCATGCCAAGCTGTTCGGTTAACGGCCTCTTAAAACGCTTCATTCGAGTTTACTATTTAAAAAAATAATAATATTTAAAATTTAATTTGGCTAACTTGATTGTTTGTTTGTTTGTTTTTCTTTTTAAGAAAAAACGTTATAAATTAAATTTTTATTAAAATAAGTAAATAAGTTTTTTTTTATTATATATTACAAAAAAAAAAAAAAAAAAACTCTCTTTTTGGGAAATTTTAGTGATTCATGGGCTAACAGACTTGAAGCTTGTGTCGGAGTAATGTTTGCTTAGTTATGATTGTTGAACACGTGCCAAAGAAATGCAATACTTATTGTATTTCTGCAAATATGTTTCTTGTTCTCCATGAGTGCTTTGAGCGCAAGTTCGTGTCCAGTCCATCATTCAAAGGATAAATGACCTTATTACCACTTAATATTTTGCTCACTTCATTACACAGAGTATTCTACGATAATGATATGCAAGGCCCACACATGACACATGTTGGGCCAAACAATTAAAGGCACAATACATTCCCTGTTAATTAATATTCCATAGGTGAGTACGAGCCTATTTGTTTTAACTTTAAAAAAAAGTAACTTTTATCTCCTCTTTATTTTAAAAGTATTTTTTATAAAGTTAAAGCTATTTATATTTTTATAAAAATATTTAGTTTTTGAAAAAAATATTTAACTTTTGACTTCTGCTTTTTGTAGAAGTTAAAATTTTTAGCTTCTGAAAAAAGTAAGTTTTTGTCTTTTTTGTGACTTCTACTTTTTTTAAAGGTAGACATCTAAATGAACTAAAAATGAGAAGTGTTTTTTTTCAAGAAAAAAAGCAACTTTTGTAGAAAAAAAAGTCCATCCAAACGAGCCCTATATGGTTTTGGGAATCTCTTCTCCTTGTGCAGCTCACCATCTTACATCCACAGTGATGAGACAATGCCTCACTGCATAGTGAAAACAAAAATAACAATTTTTGACTCACATTTTTTTCTCTCTCATCATTATTAGAGAATATTTATTTCTCTTATAAAAACTCATTCTTTCCATAAAAAGGAAATACTTAATTTCTAATACTTTTATGAGTTGTTAGTTTGCTAGATTTTAGAGCCATCATAGTCTACACATAATCCCTCTTGCATTCGTCTTTGCAAGGTGACTCGCCTTGAGTTTTGATCCACCCCACTGCTTGTTTCATGTGTAAGTATGAATTAATTCAGGCTCTGAAATTGCGAATGACTCCTTAAATCAGTTATAGTTTGTTTGATGGTTCTACTACTAACCGTAGTAATTCTAGAGTTAATACATGCATAAGAATTCACATAATTAACATACTATATTCGATACAGACTTATCTCTTAATCCACAACAATTCACACACAATTGGTATGGGGTCCAGGGCATAACAATTCGGGCATCAAATAAATGATCCTCAAAAATATTTTGACAAAGAATAACGGTGACATATTGGAAAATGATTTTTGGTTATTCTCTCTTTGCACTTTGATCTTGAGCTCTCAATTTCATCCTTGGCCAAACTTATCCCCACCCCCTAATTTTCTGTGCTACCACAACACTCACGCCGACATGATTGAGAATCCATATTCCAAACGAGAAGCTCATGCTGCCTTATAAAGTAATTATGATCTTTTTTTCATGGTTGAACATTCACTCTCTCTTATTATTCTGGATGAATTCCAATATCATAAATAATGTCTTTCGTTTTAAAAATGACTAAAACATTATTTTATATGAAAATATGTTGAAATTTTAAAATATAGGTAATTAAATTGGTTTAGGTGCTTTAAAAACAATTTCCCAAATCAATTAGGATAGGTTAATTTATATTAAATAAAAATTGACTTGATTATGCATCCCTTATCCCTAAGTGATTTGTTAAAGTCAATTTTAGACTTAAAAATGTCCTATTTGTGCAGAACACTAATTAGTAGGGATGTGAAAGGATCAGACGACTTATCAAAGGCTTATTCAGGTCAAGCCAGACAAAATATATTCAATAAAAATGAAACATAATATATTCAGTTAAATAAAATAGACTCAAGTTTTTTTATTTAAAAAAGGCTCGTTTAGAAAATATGTCATAAGCCTGTTTTTATAAGACTTGACTTACAAGCTAATTGATCGGTATCGTATTATTTATTTTAATTTAAATAAAATAAATAAATATTTAAATAATTTTAACTCTCTGTTTGGATGGATTTTCAAAAAATGTTTTTATACCTTGCTTATTTTATAAGTTTTTTTTTTTTTGGTAAATGAAAAAGCCGAAGCCCAGGAAAAAAGAAGAAGAAAAAATTAATAGACTACCATGGCACGAGCCCTACCAACAGAAGAAACATAAGCTAAATGCAATAACAGAATACCGGAAGGAGGTTCATGATAAACAACAACATCAACTTCCTCCTCATTATCAAGGATGAAATTAGCCATCCAGTCAGCACATATGTTGCCCTCTCTATAAGTGCGACGAAGCTTAATTCTCCAATCTCTTTGAAACCATGTCCGTATGCGAGAGACAAGATGACTCTCACGGACTGCTGCTCCAAGATTGGTGAGCATGGTGATTGCACTAGATGAATCACTTTCAAGCTCAATATTTCAAAATTCATCATTCCAAGCCAACTCCAAACCACGAAGAATGCCCTACAGTTCTGCTTTATAAGAAGAACATGTTCCTCCTAACTTAAAGGCAAATTTGCTAAGCCACTTACCATTAAAGTCACGCAGTTAGGGGTGATAAACGAACCAGAAGCCTTTGGCTCGGCTCGTGAAGGCCTAAGCTTACATGCCTAAAATTGGTTGTTGAAACCAGGCTTGAACTTGTATAAAAGCTCGTTTAATAAAAAGGCCTCAGGCTCCAATCCAAAAGCTCGGCCTTGGAGCCTCTCAAGCTGATCTAGTATATTAATTTTTATTATTATTTTATATTTTTTATACTACTTGTAATATCCTTTTCTCTCTCCTCAATCCATTTCACTTCATTTTATTAGATAAATAGACATTTTGAATGATTTTGTTCTATATTATGATATTTGGATATACATTAAATTTATGAAAATTTATGGAATTACTAGTGCTGCTTGTAGATACAATGTATGTTTTGATGATAACAAAAAGGCAAGATCATTTGATCAAGAGCAAAAAGCATCAATCATATGTGGATATTGAAGATGTATGATGTAGCCACACAAGAAGAGTGATGACATATCAAAGTGGCAAGATCATTGGATCAAGAGCAACAAGGAATAATTAGAAGAGCAATAACAAGATCAAAGACAACTAACCATGGACAACATCTAAGAGAAACTCAATATCATAACCATGATGAAAAATGATCAAAACCAATAAAGTGTCAAGTATTGTCATATTCAACAAGTCAAAGCATCAAGTTCAAGAAAAAATCCAAGACACAAGACATGAAGCTAAGTCTAAAATCATATTTAGAATATATATTTAGGACCTAGAATATATGTGAGGGTATATGATATATTGCATTGCATGAGCTCAAAGTTTTTCTCAAAGTAAATGTGTTTTTCAAATTACATAATCATAACCTTTATATACTTGAAAGAAATTTGAAAAATTCATGGAAAAGATCCTTGACATATTTTATAACTTCAAAACATATTTATCAAGTCAAGATCTTTCACAAAAAGTAGTTGGAAGCAAAACATATTTTATATACTTAAAATTTGTTGTTTAATTTTGCTGCTGCCTTCCATACAATTTTTCGTATCTAAGATGATCGATTTGGATCTTGTATTCTTCATAAAAGTTGTAGATCTCTCTTTTATCTTTCCAACGAGACTAAGATCACATCAATCCAACAAGTATAACTCAAATTATAGCCAAAATACAAAAAATGTTCTTGCTGTCAAGTTGGGAATCGATTACCACTGCAACAAATCCCAACGGCTATAAAACGGCTAGTTTTTCAAAAGAGATTCCAACGGCTATAAACAGCTATAAAACGGATAGTTTTTTCAAATGAAATCCCAACAGCTGTAAACGACTAGTTTCCCAACGGCTAGTTTTTTTCCAACGGCTATAAACGGCTAGTTTTTGCAAACACTATATATGCATTCCCAATGACTCAAAAAACATTGGGGCATCATTTCTACACATATTAAGCATGCTTTGAGAGCTTCTACACTATCATTTTCATATTCTTTCATATCTTTCAAAGATCAAACATATTTGAGCTCATATCTTGAAAATTCATATACCCATAGTGCTTCAAGTTGTATATCCACACTTTGTTGAGAATGTATATTCATTTCTAAATATATCCCTCCTTGTATTCTTGAGTTGAAAGGG